AAAGTAGCGCGGTGTTTCCGAAAGTCTCCAGTGGCATTTCGCCGGTTTTGCAGCAATTTACCGCTCGCTCGAGACGCCTGCTAATTCCTGTCGAGAGTTTCCTCAGATCAAATTTATTCGGTGACTCGAGGAGATCGTATCATAGCATCATCGGAGCGTGGCCATTCCATTCGCTGTTATCCACAAATACACTTCCAAGATGAAGCCTCAAACTACCGACTCTGAATTTGAACTCGAGTCTGACAAGAAAGAAAATATTTTGAACGAAGTGTCACCAGAGCTAAGCGGTACAAATTGCCGAAACCGAAGAGAAGACGTGTCCCATCGATCTCCACCCGTGAGCCGCAAAGGAGCGTCCCTCCGAGCCCGTCGAGGTCATCTCCCCCCCACCTGAGGGCTTTGCAGAAGAACCAAGTAGCCGAGGTAACGCTGTACGTACGGTAATCGGTCCTATGCTTGGCGAATTCACAGCGACCAAGTCATGGACCTCGCCATTCGCTCGGGGCGAATGTAGAAGTCTTGTCGTCCAAGGGAATCTGCGAAGACCACATGCCCCCCAAGAGCCACTAGGCAGCCGCTGAGGCGACGGTGTTCTTCACTTTTTTCGGACTATGTCCAGAGCTTGAGAACACGAAGAGAAGATCGAGAAACGCTCCGAAAGACAACGGGTCACTCAACAACCAGATCGAGTAGAATGATCAGGCTCTAAACCGATCCGTTAAATACGTCACCGCGGATTCCGTACACGGGAGCTCGCTCCTCCAAGCCATGAAATCGCAGGTCTCCCTCTATCACATTGGGTGGCCTTGCGGAGACGCCAACGGAGTCGGCATTGGATATTAGCGTCATCGGAGTAGGGTTCAACGTGGCCACTTAAAGCAACCCTGGAAACCCCGATTCCTCGAGTGAGTTCCAAACTCTTCGAAAGCTGCGTCTTCGAGAGCGCTTTGGGACAAGCTCTTCGCCCTTCAACCGAGATCCAGTCTTGAAGGCAGGTAGAGATTGACCTTGGCATACGCTTGACATTCTCTGAGTGAGATCATCCTGACGCTGAAGGGCGCTCCGAGAAACATTCTCCCCCTACAGTGACAATCAAATGAGTATCGCGCGTCGAGATAGATGACTTCCATACTTGGAGTATAGTTCGGATTCTCAACTACAACGTAACTTGAAGTAGTTAGGATTTCTAATTACTTCCTACTTCGAAGTAGTTGGGGAGCCTAACTATTTCCTTGCTTGAGGTAGGGTTCCTAACTGCTTCAATCTAGGAAGGTTCCCTTCAGTTTTGCTTGAATATTAGGATGGGGGTCCCAAGGGATCAAAAAGTTCAAAGGTCAGTGGTATTTTTGTTTCGCATCCCCCCACATATAATCGGCTTTGCGTCTGTCTGTGTGTGCAAAATTTGACGCCGATTCTTACGGTAACTGCAGCATACCTAGAATACCTTCGCTCGTCACCAACACGCGTGTCCCCAGCTCCAAATTCATCCTGCGAGCGGAAATAAATGGCTTCCAGAGCGGATCTATTTGACCTGCCGTCGCACCGCCGCCGCGGCCGTTCTGCGCTCGCCGCCGCGGCCGTACTGCGCCCCTTCTGCGCTCGTAGCCCCAGCGAGGAATTATTAGTCCTCAAGTGAGCTGGGAGGTTTCTCCGTACCAGTGCTCTTATACGCTCACGGAGCCGCCTCCGCTGCGACAGTATAGCCGTATTTACCGTTTTACATTTTCATTCGCTTTCTCAGTCGTCGGATCCGTTGTCATATTGAAGTCGTCGACTCGCTTTATACTGCTGTGATCAATTTCTTTCCCAATGGCACGCCGTAAGTTACCTTACGGGGAAGATATTCATGATGAAGATTACCATCCGACGACTGAGAGGAAGCGTCAGAAGGTGGCATGCGCGAGAATCCGCCTTGGAAGAGAAACAGTCGAGCACAGGCAGGTACGGCTTACCGCAGATGCAATTTCGCATGCTGCGAAGAAAGCATGTGGAAATCCCGTTACAAAAGCAGAGCGCCTTGCCTCCGATGCCGCTGCCCATAGCGCTCGACGGTCCGCTCAGAGGGGAGGTTCACGAAGAACGGCGGAAACGCTTTCTACTTGACTCGCGTGGCATTGCAGGGGAGTCGAACCTCATCATCTCGGTCCATTGCAACACGTTTGCGAAAACTGCGGTGCCAAACATTTTTTGTTCGGAGAAAAAAGCGCAACACCCCAACAGAAACTTCCATAATCACATTCGCAATCTCAACTCCCCTCTTGCCATGGCCTCAATGGGTGCGCAAATCGCCAATCCACGGGGCGGGGAACCGTATTGTTTCCGTATTCACGGAGAGGTTTATCACAGTGTTGGGCCCTTGCACCCAAATTTACATCCTTGACACGGCTGAAGCGATCGCGCAACGATTGAGCTTACCTCAAAACGCTCAATGCGACCAATATCGCACCTAGACAAACGGTGCGACCCTCTGACCTATCCTTTACCTTTCCCTACCGGACAAGACGGCTGGGCGCCCACCTTGCAGGACGATCGGGGGCGACGGATCGACCAGGAACAGTTTTACTCGCATCTCATGGTTATACGGGACGCATTCAATCCCGCCCTGCACGCCGGTAAACTGTTTCAGCAGTTCGCGGTCGATTCTTTCGTGAGAATTGAGCAAAATCGACTCAATTACTACTATGCTGATGACTGACTACCTCAATCCCGAAAACTCCCAGGTAATTGGGAGGTGAGGGAACGGGCGGTATATCACTTAATATTCGGCATCTGACATCATCTCTCGGTGTACGAATTCATCAAATCGTATGGTGCGATTCAGACAGAGGAAAGCCGCCTTCAGCCCACCTCGAGCATGGATATCGTTCGCTTGGCTGTCGCCCCGGATCAGGCCTCCACAGTCTCTCATTAGGGCAATGTATGCAGAATTTTTGAATCAACGTGTCCGATGACCACCGATGAGGTCAACTTGTAGACTGTTCTTGTCACCGATTTCTCCGACGGAGGTCAAGTCTCATGAGTAACGACAAGATGGACTCTTCAGTTCCGCTTATCTCGTAAATCGGGTCGAAGTGAGGGAAGAGAGATTGGGAACTAACTTCAAGGCGCATCCTTGCGATTCCCGCTTCCGTGTAAGATCACAACCATTGCGAGACAGGCCAACGAATTTCGTCCGCCACGAAACTCCTCTGAGCACTCCCATGCTCCGATTGACTTTAAAAGGAACGCTTTCCCCGAAAGTATCCGAGCGCCTTGCAGGTGCAAAGAAATCCGAATGCATGAATCCAGGCTGACTTTTATGATTCCAGACGAAGCTCCGCCATTAGCACTTGGATAGAGACTCGAAGGGATCTGTCGGAGTAATCGATAGCTCCCATCTCTCCAGGTACGAGAGGAATTTTGGACGACAGAGGCGAGCTCTGCCTACTTGAAACATGTTTGTTTTCAACTTAGGACCGCCGACCATATTGCGGATCGATCTCACAAGATTGTCAGCCGAGCTGAGATAGAAGCTCTGATTTACTTCCTCGTGTACTTCCCTCTCCGTCCGTATCGGCTTCATCATGCAAGCTCGCTGCTAGGAAGCGCCTCTGCCTCAGCAAGGACATGCTTTCTTCCAGAATCGACCGGAATCGAAAGCGGAGAGTGCTTGCCGTCGAAGGAAAATGCTGGAGGACACCCAGGGCTGAAAACAGGACGTCGACAGGCCAGATAAATCCGTCTTATATGTATAGTCGATGGCAATAACCTGAGCATGGGTAAAACAGGTACAACAACTGCATGATCCACTGAATCTGATTTCTGATTCGTCGGTGACGCCTCGAGTTGGTGGAGATCATGCTTCAAAAATCATATATTGGCGGAACAGGAATGGCGAGGAGTCTCACACGGGGCTTCATTCACGGAAAGTCCGCCTCGGGCACGATATCGGAAGCGGAACCCAAAATGTGCGAATTCGACATGCATGACTTCGACGAAGCGAATACTCACTGAGACTATCTTGGCGAAGAGAAGATTTCCGAGGTGCGAAAGCTCCTTCGAGGGAAATGAGCAATGACGTCACATCTGTCACCTAATCCGCATCAATGTCACGTTCCGGTAGCCCATCTGCGAGACGTCCTCCCGCGCTCGAAGATCTGCTCGCGATGATAATTTCTGCAAAACGTACTCTGTGCAGAAAGTTGTGAAGCATTAGCGTAGGATTACGCTCTAGGGTTCGTATTGGGGGTGTCGGATTGGGGAAAAATTTGTGAGTCAATTTTCTAAGGAAGAAAGCCTCTACCGAAGGAAACTCTGATTGTCAAACGTCTTCAGAAAGAAGTCTCGTCTTTGCAAAGCCTACCGGACCCCGGAGTTCGCCGCGGAAAACTCGCTGCTCTCGCTGATATTCCGACTAGCCGGTCGGCGTATGGATCGGCATGAGATCCAGCAACTCCACGTTCTGGATATACTGACCTTGCCCGCCGAGCTCCGAAACAGAATCCTTCTCACCATTCCCCTGTTTTCCTCGTCCCAAATTCTGTATTCACGCGGCCCCTCGGTTCGGAGCAAAGACGGCGCGGCGTTGAGGGACGAGCATGGCTATAAATACAGTGAAACCTGACCTATGGGACCACCGTACAAAGGGACCACCTGAGGTATCGGACCACTTTTCTTTGGCACCGATTCTCCTCCCATAGAAGTCTATACCATTCTTAACGCGCAATGGGACCACTTGAGCAACGGGACCAAGGACCACCTTCCCCGGAACCGAGGGTCCCCATTACCTGCACAATCGGACCCCATTTTTTAGGACGTCTCGAGTTTATCATAGAAATCAGAATACAAACATCGATTGTCGCGTGGGGACTACCGTGATGTGTGAATGCACGTCTCGCTCTCCACACGCAACGCCAGACATCTGTATTCCAATTCATCTGGCTTCGCTTCAAGGAACAGCCGCATCGCGTCAGCGGTAACTCCGTTCTCGAGTCGAGTTGAGCTATCGCCCGGTCTCCAGCATGGGAAAGCAACGGAACGAGCTCGCTCTAGACGAAAAAGTCGAAGTTATCAAGCAAGTGAATCGGGGGGAGAGCCAGAGAGAAATCGCCTCGGAGTTCGGCGTGAGTAAGTCCCAAGTACAAAGGATAGCGAAGGACCAAAAAGCTTTTCTGGAAGAATGGGAAAGTTTTTCTTCCGAAAAGGGCAGGAGAAGACGTCAGAAAGCTAGAAACCAAGACTTCGATGACGAGGTCATGCGTTGGTTCCGGAGTGTGACGGAAAAACGGATCCCGGTAACTGGGGTGATGATTCAGGAGAAAGCCAAGTCCTTGGCCCGCGAAACAGGGGTCGCGGAGTTTTCGGCGAGTAACGGATGGCTCGATAGCTTCCGAAAGCGACGCAACATTGTTTTCAAATCTCTGTGCGGTGAATCTGGGGACGTTGATCAAACAGTCGTGAGTGATTGGTTGAAGCGATTGCCTGATCTGATCAAAGAGTACGAGGTGAAGGACATCTTCAACATGGATGAGACCGGCCTCTTCTTCAGATCCCTTCCTAACAAGTCTCTCGTCGAAAAAGGAAAACAATGCCGCGGCGGTAAAATGGCAAAAGAAAGGCTGTCAATCGCACTCTGCTGCAGCGCCGTAGGAGAAAAAATTCAACCGTTGGTCATATGGAAGGCCCTGAGAACTGACGCTGGCAGATGTCACAGCTTTTGACATGATTCCGGACCTTGGCCAAACCCCCTTTTCCAACGTCGAATCGCTCATTTAGCCGTCTGCCCGTTTTCCAAACTCCCGGATGACCGGACATGCCGTCCTCGTGACATAGCTTGATGGTGTCCGTCACAAGTACCGCGGGTATGTAAAGGCGGCCTTCACGGAAGAGGAGCTGGTCCCGAACTGTGTATCCCTCTGGCGGACTTCGTAGAAGATTTCGGCAGACCGGGTCATGGCGCTGCTCTTGACGAGCTCGCTCGACACTGAGCGTGGCAACAGAGAGCCTTGATAGAGCGTCGGCATTACCATTGTCCTGCCCTCGACGATGTAGGACTTCGGAGTCGTAATCTTGTATGGCCATCGCCCAACGAACGAGCTTGGGACAGAGATTCGCCTTACTTCGAAGGTCCTTCAACGAAATACTATCAGTAACCACCTTGGAAAGCCGTCCGCACAGATGGGGGTGAAACTCTCGAATCGCCCACACCACAGCAAGACACTCCGTTCCCGAAGAGTGACAGTTCGTTTCGACCTTAGTGAGACGCCGACTCGCATAGGCGACCGCTCTCTCTTTCTCCACCAATACCTGGACGAGAACTGCACCGAGGCCCGTTCCGCTCGCGTCCATATGTGATCTGGTTTCTAAATCGTCTCGGTAATGGCTCCGAGCAGGTTCCGCTGTTATCGTGTCTTTTATCCGTTGGAAGACTTGTTGGTGTTTCCTCCCCATTCGAAAGTTGTCGTCGTCAGTAGCTCGTACAGCAGTACAGCTGTGGCCGCTAAATTTTTGATGAAGCGCCTGTAGTAGGACGCCAGTCCGAGAAAACTCCTTACTTCCTCGACGTTTGTCGGCGCGGAAATCTCTTTGACGGCGGAAATCTTTTCTGGATCGGGCGCAACTTTATGACCCAGTCAAGTTACCCTCCGCGTGGCGAACATACACTTCTCCGCTCTCAGTCTCATCCCAGCGGCTCGAATCGCTGACAATACTTTCCTGAGATCGGCCGCATGTGTCTCAAAATCTTTTGAATGAATGATTCTGTCGTCTAGATACACAAGGGCCATCCGATACTTGAGGGGTCAAATGACTCTCTCCATCAGCCTCTGGGACGTCGCCGGAGCATTCGCCAAGCCGAAGGGCATTCGTTCTAATTAGAGTAGGCCGTCCGGGATGCGGAAAGCTGTTTTCTCTCTATGATCCGGTGCCCTTTCGACTTGCCAATATACGCCGTCTTTCTTTTTCACTAGAACCACTGATGCGGCCCTAGGACTCGATGACGGCTCGAAAATCCCGGCAGACAACAATATCCATGATGGACCTGTCCGCAGCTGGAGACGACCTTCTGTGGGAAATCCCTGGAGTTTTGAAAAGTAATGTGTACAAACCGACATACATAAAAAAATATTCATGAAGATGGCGACGGTTTGCTTCTCTTACTTCATAGAATGTAGAGTATCTCGGCCCGAAACCAGATTACGATAAATGTTTATCCCCCAATGGGAAATCCCGAGATGACACCTGCCTTGCTGCGAGTCTCTCTCGAAAGAATCTGGGCGTGAACTCGCCATTATTGCATCCTGAAACGCATGCGATTCAAGGCCTCGACACCCAAGCGCGGCGAAACTCGAAAAACATCATTATCGGGCGGAGGGACTGGAATCACGGCATGGGGAGGGTACATGATTCGCACTGGATTCAAGTTGTGATAATGAGCTTCGTCGCATCATGTCGCCATCGTCGATCGAATCCGTGGCTAACATTTGACGGAATGGGGGTAGAATCATTCCATTGCAGCTTGCTAGTGTTTCCATGCTGTCATATTGGCTGCTATGACGCACTAGGAATCGAGGGAAAAAGCGGAATTGCCTCCATCGACAACTCTAATTCTTTTCATAGTTATCGGCCTTGACATGATCGAGGACCTTGACAAAAGCAAGGGCGGACTTCGGGAATCGGAGCCGACCACTCCTCACCTTGGCCGCGTCACCACAGCGAGATTGTGAACTGTATTTCAGTTTTTCATTCAGAGGGAAATCATGATCATGATGAGACGAAGTTTTGGATTCAGATCGACTTGTTATCGTTTCGATCTTCTGATAGCGAGGGGGAGCGCACGAGCGCACCCGAACGGCGCACAGTACGAGTATTCTCCACATTACCCCCGGAAACGCTCACGTTCAGGAGGTGGTCGGCCACGTTGCCGGAGTTTAGACGTAGGCCTACGTCATAATCCGCGTTGAGCGAACCCACCGAACGGAAAGTGGCGAACAGAAGTCGGCGAACGCGCGCCTGAACTTGAAAATAACCTCTACATTTCTTCCCAATGCTTTATTTGGAGTTCGAGACGATTGATTGTGTGGCATCTTGTGTTCTGAACCGACCCAAGAAGGAGTACGGTGTTTTTCCAGGAGTCGTGCTTGTCGAGGAATCTGTATCATATCCGCACGCTTGCAGCTCCGAGTCACGCGGCTGAATTCGCCATCTTGTTCGCGAGGCGCGTCGGCCATGGGGCCAATTTCGATATGGCTGTCGGTTGACGTTACCGACGATTGGTCGAGTGGTTAGCGCGCCTGTGGGAAACTTGCGTTTCTCTTCGTGAGAGGACACCGCTTGTGCAAGGAGTGGCGTGGGTTGGTGCGTACCTATCGGCGCGCAGCTCCAATTTGAGCGCTGGTCCAATTCGAGCGCAGGACAATTGAGCGCCAATCCGACTCGACCGCGCCGCAAAACTAGCGGAGAATTTCCGGAAATGGTCAGCTGCATGGAAGAGAGCGGCACTGTATCCTGCTTGGAGCTCCTGTTCGCCCAGCCGATTCCTGATTCGGGGCATAAGGATTCGGCACTGAGCATACCTTCAAAGTCATAGGCGCGACTGGAACGATGTGCTGTTCTCCGGTTGTGGTTCGGCTATGAACCTCAGTTCGGATGCCTTGCAGAACGACTTGGGACTCGGAACGACGGAGGCATAGCCGATTCCATCGATGATTACAACGCCAGAGCGTATGAGATGAGCGGAATACCATTCGCTGTGGGGATGGCTGCGTGTCCTTGAATCAACGTCAAGAACTTTCGAAGACACGCGAAGTCGTACGCTTCCGCGATCTTCAGTAGGTTTCGCAATCGACGAGTAGCCATTGAGTCTCGGTGTCTACTCGGGAATAGTTGTTCTCGAGAAGGTTCAGAGCAAAATCGTGATTAGCGTCACTTGACTCCAAGGCTTGGATGATATCCTTCGGTTCGTCTCGGAGTATTCACGGAGTATCATCGATTTTTCGATCGGAGCGGCGTCGGCTGTCTTGTACACAAAACACTTGAACTGCATGATGAATGAGCGGAATTAGAGTCTCTCGCCGGAAAACTTTTCGGGCGATATATCCAGCTCGCGTGGAAGCCGCGCAATCGAAGGTGTCGGTACGGTCCCCTCTGGCTTGAGACGTTGTTCTCTTCGGCGCCTCGGTGAACGCTCGTCGAGCTCGAACTGTCTTTTGAAATCGGAATCTCGGGAGTCTGCCTGTTGGTCGACGGTGGAATCATTGTGGACTCGAAGGCAGCCGAAAGCGAACATGCCGCACGCCTTGCGGTGTTCTGTAGAATGTCTGTTCGGCGTTCGACGATGAGTTCGCGCTCCGTTCTCCCACAGCTGAAATCGTCGCGATAACAGCATCGATCTCCGCCTCGAACGCCTCGGACTCGGTGATCTTCCAGATCTCCATCCTCAAGCAGCCCACAGATCTGCTCGGTGAACTCGCGCACCCGTGAGAGATGCTGTGTCATCACCTCCAAGAGGACGTCGGGACTCTAATTGTCGAGGAACTCCGGGTTCCCGTCGCTCAGACCCTCAATCCCGGCGATCTCAATCTTGATTTTGTTTCGTCGGATCGTCCGTCGCTGTCTAAGCGTCCTCAGCTCCTTTCTCACGTCGAGGTTTTTCTCTGGACGGCTCGGGGTCTCCGGGGGTCGCCATGATTTTCCGGCCTCTGATGTCCCCAAGCGTTGATTGAGGTTCGCACCGTACCTCGGGTCGTACCTTGTCGTCCTTGCACTCGGTCAGATACGGATTTCGGTCACGGCACCATGTGAATTGTTTCGGTCTTCCTGGGAGCGACGGGGAGCGAACGAGCGCTCGGTACGAATATTCTTTGCAGTTGTACGTGACGGTTCGCTACCACTCGGTTTGATTCAATGCTTGGGACGAGAACTTCAGCTCCGCAATCGAATCGACGTAGCTCGACGCGAGCTTCGGTTTAGCTCATAGCTGAACCTGCTTTATTTATTCTCCACCGACATTGATCATTCGCGGGATCATAGGTTGGACGTTGGCGATATGAATGTTCTCATCCATATCGTCGGTCGTCCACTGGCGGATCCAGGGTTTTTTTGGGGGGGGGGGGCAGTTTCCTTCCAGTCTTCTGCCACGCTCGGTCATGTATCTTTGCGGTGTAGTATGCTCGGTTTTACGCCATGTATACAATGAGTGATATGCATGTTACTGTTAGGCAACTCGATCGACGATATCTGAGCTGAATGGCTCGTCTTCAGCAGGGACCAATCCGGAGGTGATATCTGTTCCTCTCAGCCTCATCAAAGCGTATTGTCGAGGCACGAAGTTCACTCGCCGGTTTGCTTCGACCCGAATCTATTTATGATTGACTCAATGCACAAATATTTATCGCGATGCGTGTTCATGAACGTTGTACCTGTAAGCCTGCTCTCGGTCATGGTCGTTCTCAGGTAAGTCTTCAAACGACGGAGGCTTGAGAATGTTCAGCACAAGCCTCGCTGACGGGCATGGC